GCAGATGTGTGATTTCTTTTACAGCTAAGCCAAAAAAAAAAAAAAAACCAAGAACTTGTTCATAAACCACTAGTAGTACTTATGCAGTAGTGGTATGGGGGTAAGCATGACAGTAGGGGGAAAACTTCCTTTCCACACCACATATAGAAATATTTGGCATAGCCGGGCACGGTGGCTCAAGCCTGTAATCCCAGCACTTTGGGAGGCCGAGGCGGGTGGATCACGAGGTCAAGAGATCGAGACCATCCTGGTCAACATGGTGAAACCCCGTCTCTACTAAAAATACAAAAAATTAGCTGGGCATGGTGGCGCGTGCCTGTAATCCCAGCTACTCAGGAGGCTGAGGCAGGAGAATTGCCTGAACCCAGGAGGCGGAGGTTGCGGTGAGCCGAGATCGCGCCATTGCCCTCCAGAATAGGAAAAAAGAGCGAACAAATGTATAAAAAAAAAAAAAAAAAAGAAATATTTGGCATAATGGCTCTTAAATAACCAATATTTGAGCACATACCAAATGCCATTGTTATATAGGCACTTAGCATGGGCCATTTTATCTTCACAATTGCCATGTAAGACAGATATTGATGTAAGACAGATATTGTCATCTCCATTTTACAAGTAAGAGAACTGAAGCACTGAGAGTTTAAGTAAATTGCCCCAAATCAATCATCTAATAAGTGATAGAGCTGGAATTTGAACCCATGCAATCTGACTCTAGAGTTCACATTCTCAACAACTACACTCTCCAAGCAAAGGTCATTAAAGGGGTGGTGTGAAAACAAGGGTCAGTTGAGGTGTCACTGGACAGATTGTGAAATGAGCAGAGAAGGCAGCCTGAAGGGTGGTGCCCTTGTAATGTGTTTGCTTCCCCTTCTGGGGAAAGGCATGGGAAAGCACCAAAAGAAGTGGCACAGCCCAACCTGACCTTACCGGTTTAAATGTTACCTTTAGCAATAATGATTGAGGAAAGTGAGTCAAGTAACGTGCCCAGGGTCATCACCCTAGCAAGCTTTGAAGCCAATGTTCAACCTACTTCCTTTGACCTCAAGTCCTCCAACTGCAAATACAGTGCACTGAGAAGGATTTTCTGTCTGGGCCTGGCAGTTCATGCCTGTAAGCCCAGCACTTTGGGAGGCTGAGGTGGACAGATCACGAGGTCAGGAGTTCGAAGCCAGCCTGGCCAACACAGTGAAACCCTGTCTCTACTAAAAATACAAAAATTAGCTGGATGTAGTGGCAGGTGCCTGTAATCCCAACTGCTCAGGAGGCTGAGACAGGAGAACTGCTTGAACCCGGGAGGCAGAGGTTGCAGTGAGCTGAGATCATGCCACTGCACTCCAACCTGGGTGACAGCAAGACTCCATCTCGAAAAAAAAAAAGAGCGAAAGAGAGAAGGGTTTACTTCCCAATTTAAGAACCATATGGGTATTACCAATGTGGAAAATTGAGGTGAGGAACCTGTGGCATGATTTATGCTCTTTCTTAATCATGAGCAAGTGTCTAGCCTCCCTGTGAGATTAGCTGCAGGAATAAGTTGCCAATTCCAGAGCACTGTGCAACAATTTATCTTTCTCCATAGCTGAATCATCTTGCCACATTGTGTGGGGTACTTGGATAGTGTTTCCAGTTTAGAAGCATTCAGTTTTTTGTTACTAGATCAGAAAGAACACCTAAAACAATACATTTTCATGTCATTCAAATAGAGTCCAGAATTGAGGGTGTCAGCTGGCCAATCTATATCCTGTCCTCTTCTTTCCACTGCCTATCCCAGAAGGCCTGGGACAAGTCCCATTTCTTCTTATATTGCCAGTCATCATGATCTCACCTTTCAGTCAAGTCCTGCAGCTTTCCCTGTCTATAAACATGTGCAGTTTCATCTTTAAAAAATTTCTGGGCTCTCACATCCCCTCAGGCTATTAGACTAACTAACTCCTTCCTTTCACAATCACATTTTTTTCAAAGAGGAAGCTATACTAACTGTGATGGCCTCACTTTTTAACCCCTCACAAGCTTCCTCCCCTACTTCCTGTTTTGTTTCGTTCCACAGGGCACCAGTGAGTTTCTAATGGCAAAAAGCGGTCTTTGACCATTCCTTGTCTCCTTTCTGACATCTTTTTCTCCTCTAAACCCTTATACACAGGCATTTCCAAAAATGACACTCTTCTTCCTAGCTCAGAGGTCCTCATCAGGGTGTGGGGCAGGTTTTGTGACATGATGGGACTTACTTCTTTTTTTAGAGCCTCACTCTGGTGGCTGCAAAGAGGATGGGTTGTAGGGCAGCAAGAATAGAAGCAGGCCCCAGGTAGATACTGCAGAAAGTCCAAGTGAGAGATAATAGTGCCCAGACTAGGGTGGTGGCAGTGCAGAGGGAGAGAAGTGAATGTATTTAAGGCATGTCTTGGATGTGGAACTGATGGAAATTGTTGATGTATTGGATCTGCAAGTGAAGGAAAAGGAAGAAACACAAATTACTCCCAGGTTTCTGACTTAGGCAACTGGATAGATGTTGGTATCTTTACTGAGCTGTGAAAGATAGAAAAGGAGTGGAAAGAACTTGGATGGGGAAATTGGGAGCTTGGTTTTGAAAATGTTGTTGGATATGACTGTTGGGCAACCCAGTGGAGAAAGCCACATGCCCTTGGCTATCTCAGCCACTCTTATAACTTCGGCTTTCTCCTTTTTATATGGAAAAATTGTGTGTGTGTGTGTGTGTGTGTGTGTGTGTGTGTGTGTGTGTGTGTCTGCAATTGTTTAACCCATTAAGTTCTGAAACAAAACTTTTAAAATCAGAATCTATGTCCATTCTGCCCTACCGTATGAGTTCTTCCTTCCAATTGTCCTCTTTCTTATATTGCTACCTCTAGTCTTTCTTCACCCAGAGTTTACACTCTTCAGCAAGCCTCTTCCATCTTCCTCCCTCTCACCAATATCCAAGTAGTAAAGAAGTCCTGTTGAACCTACCCTGTACATTATTTCTCCTTCTTTGTTCTCATTGCCCCCAGCCTAGTTTAAAATCATTATTACTTCTTATTTGGATCATTGTGGCACTCTAACTGCCCCTAGTCTTTTAATGGCTAATATTTCCTGCACACTGCTGCTATAGATGTCTTTTTTCCTTAATATTTCTGTCTAAATATGTTTCCCCATTTCCCACAAAATATAGTCTATTCTCTTTAGCCTGGTATTCCATGTTCTTCATAATCTGGCCCTTTTAACTAACTAAGCTCGACTAGAAATTTTCTCTTTTGTGTTTTTGTTTATGCTGTTGTTCCTTCTAGTCAACATGCCTTCTCCTGGCTCCCATCTTCACCAAGCAAACTCCTGCCTACCTTCTAAGACCCTCTCAAATCCCACCAAAGAAGAATTCTACTTACATTTATGAAATACCATTATTTAGTACTTAATGCTTATTTATTAAGTAGGCTAAGCATTCTACATTCATTGTCTGAGTCTGCATTGCCTTTGGTTTCTTGTGAATTTGCCCCATCTTCTGTATAAGAATGCAAATTCATTGACAGCAGAGATCACATTATAATTTATCTTTGAATCATCAGCTGTATACTTGTTAATATCATATAAATGTTTGACCAATGAATGACTATAGAGCTTTTAACTAGTTGCTATGGGAATATATCAATAAAAGAAGCATAAGATCTTACATTCTAGTTACAGAGCACATCACCAAAAAAAAAACCCAAGATTTTCAGAATAAGTATTGAGGGGATACAAAATGGAGGGTGACCAAAGTTATAACACAAAGTCATGCTGGAGGAATAAAATTTATATAGTAAAGGGAATGTTCAAAGCCTTCAGTGTCAGGCTGACCTAATTTTGAATTCCTGCTTTTCTGCTTGTTAAGTATGTGATTTTGAATGATTATTTCTCTCTCTAAACTGCATCTATAAAATGGTGTATTACAACCTCCTTTATAGGACTGTTGCAAGGATGAAATAATATATCCAATGTACATGTCACAATCTTCAATAAATGTTTAAAGTCTAAAAAGCAAGCTAGATTTTAAATATAGTAAGCATATTAGGTTGTCCCAGTGGTGGTAGTAAGTCAGTTTAGGTTGTCATGGGAATTGAGGGCCTGAGCACTGGCCAGCTTGTAGCAGATCATAGGGGCCTCCAGGAACCTGCAAACACTGATGGTAATTCTAAAACTGCCTTAGATAGTCTTAAACTGAACCCTCACACCAAGCTTAAAGTATTTCCCTAATCTATGTTTAGCTGCAGAAACAAAAGGAGATGGGGGGGGAAGAGCTGCAGTTTCTGAACACTACTGCTTGCAACCTTCCTACCCCATGAATGTTCAAGGAGTAACATTTGACATTACTGCTTGATTGGAATCTACCAAGCAATTAATATACACCACATCAGCCAGTCTCTTGGGAAAGTGCTATCAGATTTGCCAGAGTAAATTATTGAGATTGTTAACTCTCATGTGGACATGGATAGTTAATGATGAAAAGAAATGAACTATAAAATTGCATCACAGAATTTACTGTGTAAACTTGTCAAACCATTTGTGCTATGAATTAGCAACCCCACAAAAAAAAAAAAAAAAAAAAAAAAAAAAAAAAAAAAAAGGC